ATTGCTTAGGAGCTTATTTTAGGCCGTATAATGACTTTAATAATTTACACACCTTGCCTTCTTGACCATTTGCTACAAACCCATCAGGCTGATCCATATAGATCTTCTCCTCCAACTCTCTATTTAGGAAAGCTGTCTTAACGTCCATTTGATGAACGATGAGACCATACGAGGCTGCCAGGCAAAGCAAAACTCAAATTATGGTTAATCGGGCAACCGGTGAATAAGTATCAAAGAAATCCTCACCTTCCTTTTGAGTATAACCCTTGGCCACAAACCTTGCCTTGTATCTCTCAATAGTACCATCAGGCCTAAGTTTTTTCTTGAACACCCATTTGCAACCTATAGGCTTGTACCTATAGGGACGATCAACTATTTTCTAAGTTTCATTAGACATAACATAATCCATTTCATTACGTACTGCTTTCTTCCATAAGTTAGCATCAGGAGAGGAATATGCTTCTTCAATGGTCATTGGTGTGTCATCCACAAGGTACACAATATAGTCATCATCAAAAGACTTTGCAGTCCTCTGTCTCTTGCTTTTCCTGGTGACTATAGTGTCATCCTCCTCAGAATTTTGCACATAGGGTTCCTCAATTTGTTCTATCGGAATAAATTTTTCATGCTCATGGGAAATTATAAATTCATGACTAGTTGTGCTAGGTGCATTTTTCATAGGAAACTCATTCTCAAAAAATGTAGCGTCTCTAGATTCCATGATTGTATCAACAGTCATCTCAGAAACACTAGAGTTTATAATTAAAAATCTATAACCCACGCTGTGAATAGCATAACCAAGAAAAATACCATCAACAGTCTTTGGTCCAAGCTTTCGTTTTTTGTTTATTGGCACATTCACCTTTGCCAAACAACCCCAAGTTCGCAGGTAAGAGAGATTTAATCTCTTCTTCTCCCATTTCTCGAATGGTGTGATTTCTTTGTTCTTTGTGGGCACTCTATTCAGGACATGACATGCTATCAATATAGCATCACCTCACTATTCCTTAGATAGTCCCGCAGTCTCTAACATGGCATTAACCAAATTAGTTAGAGTGCGGTTCTTTCTCTCTGCAATCTCATTGGACTATGGTGAGTATGGTGGCGTCCTCTCATGAATAATTCCATGCACCGCGCAAAACTCAGAAAATTCATTTGAGAAATATTCTCCCCCACGATCGGACCGCAAACGCTTGATTTTCTTCTCAAGTTGATTTTCTACCTCAGCTTTATAGACCTTAAAATAATGCAACGCTTCATCTTTTGTTTTCAGCAAAATACACGTAGCAAAATCTAGTGCAATCATCTATAAATGTCATGAAGTATCGTCTACCACCTTTAGTCAATTCGCTATTCATTTCGCATAAATCAGAATGAAGGAGTTCTAATGGTGCCAAGTTCCTCGCCTCAGCAACCTTGTGAGGCTTGCGCGGTTACTTCGATTGCACACACCTGTCACTTAGAATCTTTGACTAAGTTAAATTTCAGGATTAAATTCAGATTTGCAAGCCGCGTGAGACAGCCAAAATTAATGTGACAAAGTCATGAATACCATATATTCGACTCATTCAAAACATTAACATTGTTCACCACTTTATTACACACATCATTAAGCAAAGATAAGCGAAACAAGCCTCCGCAATCATAACATTTTCCAACAAACGTTCCATGTCTCGATACAACACACTTATTGGACTCAAGTACAATTTTAAAGCCATCGCGACACATCTGAGAAGTGCTAACAAGGTTCTTTTTTATGGAGTGGACATGCTGCACGTTCTTTAATAGCACCATCTTGCCTGAAGTAAACTTCAGAACGACCGTACCAGCACCAAGAACACGCGTATGCGAACCGTTTCCTATCAGCAAGGCTCCACTCCTGTCGGCCTGATAGGAAATAAACAAAGAAACATCAGCACACACATGAATATTAGCACCACTGTCCATCCACCACTCAGGTGAAAGACAAACTGAAAAAATAAAAGGTAAAGAATTACCATACCCAGATGTTTCTCCTCCAGTCTCGCTAATTACCATGTTTACTGATTTCTTTTCTTGCTTATATTTGCGGTCTGGGCATGCACTTGCCCAGTGCTCATCACTCCCGCAAACAAAGCATTCTCCATCTTTCTTGTTTTTTTTTTCTTAAACTGTGCAGTCTGCTTAGGCTTTGAATTGTTGTTCTCTTACATGTTCTTCTTCTTTTTATTGCAAGATGCAAATGAGTTTTTCTTCTGCACCATATTGGCTTTTGCTGCTCGCCCTCTCCTCAACATCAAGAGATCCAATAAGCTCAGCCACGCTAAACTCTTGTCTCTTGTGTTTTAGAGAAGTAGCAAAATCCCTCCAAGAAGGTGGCAGCTTAGCGATTATACCGCCGGCCACAAACTTGTCGGGCAACAGACATGGGAAATGTTCTAGTTCCTTCGCTAGCGCCTGTATCTCATGAGCCTGTTCGACCACAGAACGGTTTTCAACCATTTTGTAGTTATACAGCTGCTCCATAAGGTACAGCTCACTGCCAGCATCAGAAACCCCAAACTTTGCCTCAAGAGCATCTCATAACTCTTTGTCTGATGTGCAAGATATGTAGTTTTTTCTCGTACTTGGGATGAAGTGCACTAATCACGGCGTCTCGAAACAGGTTATCGACAGCCAAGAACTTTTGCTCCTCCTCAGGAGTAAACTGTTCAGGCTTCCCCTGCGCGGCGTGATAACAGTTCATCGTAGTCAACCACAATACCATCTTGGCACGTCATATCATGAAATTCTTGCCATCAAAATTATTTGGCTTCAAAGCAGCAGCAAAACCACTGATAGAAAATTGCCTAACGTTAGATTTTTGGATTGTTAGAAATTTAGACATTTTCATTATCAGTTTAATCCAGAAAAATAACATCAGCAGGTTCGTGACGGCATATATGAACACTACAACATGCAGTGATGACATACAGATGAATACAGTAGCAGCGAGTACAGTAATCACAGAGATTAGAATGTACCCAGCGGAGGGTCCCATGCCAAGGGCATCGGAGGCTCCATTCGCACTAGTCGACATAGTGCGTTTTGAAGTCGTGGACCACAGTCGATGCAGGACGATGTTTGCAGTGCAGTGCCACGAACGGATCACTAGGAAGAAGACAACTTGCGGTTCCGTGGGCAATCACCGGGAAGGAGACGGGATCTGGACGAGCAGTTGCGGATCGCTCCCCAAAAACCTAATCGCCGCGCACCCCGTGCAAGGTTATCTGGCGGACGAGGGTTCCGGAGGCAACTGCTCTCCCGCTACTCCGTGCGCGTCAGAGGAATGGGACGGGAAAGACAGATGGCTACGGAGATGTGGATTCTCTCGGGAACAGTTGCGGGATCTGGACTGATGGAAGACTGCAGATATGTGGCTGCGACAGGGGAAGGGAACAAAGCGCAGCGGAGAATCCTAGGAGACGGGAAGCGGAAGGGACGGTAACTGACGCAGTCAGTTCGCCTCCACAATCAAGGAGCAAAACTCCCGTGATAGTGTGGATTTAAGTGGCAAAAGACTGGCCACGCCCTCCCGCCCGCCGCCCGCCTTTATAAGCTTCTCAATTTAGATGAATAATTTCCAACCATATAAGCTGAGTCAGCGTTCAGTCAAAATTTAGTATGGTATTAAGTCATACAACACTTAATGTTACGTACCATAGAGTTTTATTTGATTTATTAAATATTATATGGGCCAAACCCATATTATATGCAACATTTCAAAAAAAAAACGTAGTCACTCTTCAGAAGCAAGGTCGCTAACATTCTCCTTTCTTCCCATTGTGAAAAACAGAATAGAAATTTCTAAAAAGGGAAATTTTTTCTTTGAAAAAGGCTGCCTTGTCTGATAATGATCGGACGGGCGCTGATCAGAGCATGGCCTACAAATAAACAACGAAGGACGTGTTCCCCGTGCTTGGATATTTCAAGGGGCGTTGATTAGGAGAATTATCGGTTGATGGTACATCAACTTCACAAATCTGATTTTTTGGAATACAAATTTCTGCAATGAGCATCAGGTGGACCGATATTGACGACGTCACGTTCGAAAAACTGATCCTTTATGCAACAATGTCTGTGCTTATAAATAGTCATCTCGATCGGCATGAAGATGACCGGCGGACGCAGTGTGCATACTGGTGCAGAGCAATGCCCAGCATGGATGCCTTTGTTGTGTCACTACTCGTCACTCTTTCTGGTGAGTGCGCAGCTGAGGGCGTGCAATGCACTCTGACGCCCTCCAGGTGACCATCAAGCTGTTTGGTTGGTTGATTTTTTAGTGTGATCTGATCACAACGTTATTAGACGTACATAACCATGTGTTTTATGCAGTTTCAACACATGATTTTTTTCTTCACTATAGGATTAAGATCCAACCGCCTCCATCCTTCTTCTACCTCCAACCTTCAGCCTCCATAGATCACAAATCATAGATCATAATTTTTCTCTATGGAAGGATAAATCATAGATCGCCGCCGCTGCCGCCACCGCCACTGCCATGGCCGGCGCGGGCGCGGGGAGGCGCGCCGGGCGCGGGCGCGGGCGTCGGGGCGAGCTCGCCGGTCGCCGTCGCCGGTGGTCACCGGTGAGAAGAGAGAGATAAAAAAAATCTATGTGTTTTTTTTTTTTTAAACGCATATATGTTATATAGCATTTCTGAATTAGATTGCGTTACTTTTTGTTTGTTTGATGCACGATGCAAACGGATGTCAGAAGATAGTTTCGAGCCTTCAGTGAGCCAATCACGGCCGATCATCGGCGGTAGCTGATTGCGCTCGTATCGAGTAACGTGAGATGGCCAACCAGACAAGGAATGCAATCGTTGATTTCCTTTTTGTTGCCTCTTGTTATCTGTTCTATTTGCGCTATCATTGCCGGGCTTGCTGAAACGATTACTTTTGGTGTTCTAACGAGTTGCATGCCTGGATGGCTGGATGCAGGTTTGTGCAGCAGCTGCGCATCCAGCGGCTGCGGACGCCATGGCGACGCCGACGCTGGCACCGACGGACTATTGGCAAGCAGTGCTTCCGGAGACCCCGATGCCCCAAGCAATACACGACCTATTGACCCAATCTACAGGTATATATAATACTAGTCAGTATCCCGCACGTTGCCACGGGAAAAAGTGTTGCAGTCATGGTTGAATAAGGAAGAAATAAGAATATGAACAGCATCTCTTAAAAAAAATAAGTAGATCGAAGAATATGAACAGTGAACCGATGCCACTTTGGGTTGAATTGTCTCGATTGCAAAATATCTAGACATGATATATTTGAGTTATCTCTCTTCAAATCACGATTAGTTCTACAATTGCGGTACGTACCTTTTCATCTTAATTGTCAAACAAAAAATGGCATTCTTAAATCATGCAAGAATCAGTGTGGGCAATAGGCAATAGGAAGTATAGACATCTTCAGGCTAAGAACAAATAATGGAATTCTGAATCCCATTCAGTGGCTAAAATAGGTAGCTAGGAGATTGTTGTGGCCAAAGGCGTACGACTTTAGAATGGTGACATAAAGGTAGTCATCAAAGAATGAATGGACGTAGCTGCAACTGGAACTTAACGACCTGCAGAGCTCGAAAGCACACAAAAAAAAGCTATGTATTATGAGTAGATGATGAATAAATCATTTTAAATCAATCTATTATAGCAAAAGGATATCGGAATTCTATTAGTTTGCAGGACACAATACACTACACTGCAGTAGAAGTTCAGTGACATTTATATATGAGATTATGAGCTGTGCACGGTATCACAGAGTTATGGAATCACAGTAATGTCATAGTAGATAAAAGGTCTGTAAACACAGTATGCACGGTACCCCTAATCAAAGAAGCAGTACAATCCTATTTCCATGACGTAACGCAATTCAGTGAAGCACACCGTAAATTAAATCATATATAGTGGGATGGGGGGAGCATCAGCAAGATAGCAGATAACTGAAGTAGGGGTGTCAGGTATTTCAGATGAGAGCACTTACCTGCAAGCCATGGACCCTCAATTGGTCCTAGACTCCCAGTAATCGACGGAGAAGGCCGATAGCGCAAAGTAATCTACTGCTCTCTCTCTCTACGCGTGGTAGGGGCAGGCGTTGAAAAGCTCTCCTGCCATACTGTAGCCACAGCAGGGACATGTGTCAAAGTCAACCATGCAGTCACATCTAGTCACTGTAACAGCATGGCAGTCTGGCAGCCTGGCATGTCTGTGTCCTAGAATTAGATGGATAGAGTTGTATATATAGCTTCCCACTGTAACTTAGTGAAGTGAGAGAGTTCAGTTTTGCCATATCCTCTGCAGAGTTCTGGCCAACGCTAGTGCTTGTGTTGTGTGTGCGCGCGCTCTGTTTTCCCTCCTTCTTCTACCTCCAGCCGTAGTGTGTGTGCGAGAACGCCGGAGAGCGGTCGGCTCACCCGTGCGGGAGATCTCGGGCCAACAAGTGATATCAGAGCCGTACAAGCGCCATCGCCGGACTAACCGCTGGCGATGACGGACGGTTTGGAGATGGACGACAACAAGCAAGGTACTTTGTGGCTGCCCAACCACCACACGGGAGGTCGTCGTCGTGGCGCACGTGAAGAAGGTCGGCGCACCGGTTGGTCGATTAATCGACTCGCACCAACTATGGCGAGTGGACGGTGACCATGAAGGTCAAGCTCAGAGCCCGACGGCTCTAGAATGTCATTGACAAGGGCACCGACAATGAAGAAAAAGACATATCAGCGTTGAAGGCTATCCTCGCTGCTGTGCCAGCGGAGTCATGGCATTCCGTAATAAAACAAACAATATGTTCTTGTTTTATAGATTCATTAGCGGCACCTAAAATTTCATTCCAACGGACACGAAAGCAGGAACATGATTTTTTGAGTTGCTAATAAGGGCCATAACTTATAAATTTCTAGCTCACCAAGTTTTTCTCAGTGACATAAAAAGTAAGTTCACCTTTGATCTGGTAAGAGTTCAATTGTCGAGTATGGTTAAGGCATGCTGAATAAGGATACGATAGTAGTATTTTCTCGACTGATGAAATACTGATCAAAATAATGAGACCTTTTTTTAGTTTAGTTACAAATATTATGTATCATAGAAATTTTGGTAACTCAAATTTCCTTTCTAAATTAAATTTCAATTTCATACTCTCTATTAGCTTTTTTATCAAGGGAGATCACAAATAAAAACACCCCATGTGCCAGTTTCACTTTGGTTTCTAAGATTCATCAATAAAATGTTTTGTTGCAAGACCCAATTTCTCTCCTATTTGGTTATGTTGCACAAACCACACCATCGCACATGTATTAATTTGGTCGTGCTCTTTTTCCAACGTAGAGCTCCTAATGTAGTCTTTATCAAAATTAGACACTCTAAAAGTACAAACCCAACAATTTCTAGAGCTTTAGTAAAAAAGCGAGGACAAGCAAGCGGTCATAACGATTTCTACTATTTGCATAATTTTGTCACCTCAAAATGATGAATAAGCATAAACCAAGCCCTAGACAAGCTTTACAAGGCTAGCATGGCCAAACACGAGTAGCATGGGCAAAGAACATGCTTAGTGGGGGTGGTTTTTGTAAAAGAATCAACTAAGGTGTATGAGTTTTCAACAAAATGCCTTATGGGGGTGTATCAAATTTCCAAATGGCATGGGATTGTTTATGTAATTTTCCATTTATAGGACGTACTTTGACTATCCAAATTGATGAGTACAGGCCCGATCTTCCGAGAGGTAGCCGGTAAGTTCGATATGTGGAGATCTCGACGTTGGCGATCCGGCTTCAAATCGACGCGATTCGAACCCCCGCAACGTTACACCATCGCTCCGTTGGTTATCAACCAAGCACAACTTGATTGACCTCGCCAAGAAGGCTTTTCCCGCAAGCGAATCGAAGAGCACAAGCAAGAAGGTAAAACACGCAATCTGATATTGCAAATATGAATGACGCAAATATCAATAGAGGGTTCAAGAACTCGGTTCCAAAGGACTAATCGACACACGATGGAGGAGATCGAGGAACGGGGCCCTGGATCACTCGTAAAAGGATTTGTCACCACGTTACAATGAACGATTCAGTTTCTCGATGGAAAACTAAACTCTAAACAAAACCCAATTGTGTAGCAGCGGCGACGGCTGTGTTTATAGTCTAAGACTCGACCTAGGGTTGGGGACGGCCGGGGTTGGGCGCCCACAACTTGGGCTTAAGGCCCGACACGATACATGGCCAAGTTGGCCCAAATAGGTGACGCAGCACCTTGCCGTGGTCACACAGAATGATCCACGGACCTTCTGGAGCTGGGACCAGATCCAAAACGACGGCGTCGTCGTCCCTTTCCAACGCATCCAAGAACGGCCCGTTTCGACGTCGTATGAGGAAGTTATGACCAAAAGCAGTGACGACGTGTCTCGCTGAATCCGAGGGTGACGTGGTAGCTGAGTTGGGAACGAATTGCAACTTGGGGAAGACCATGGCGTCGGTGTGTCCAGCGATGGCGATGTCCTCATCATCCTCCCTTCTCGAATTGGAGTCGTCCTCGACTCCATCTTGGCGATGTCCTCATCATCCCTCCTTGTAGAATTGGAGTCGCCTCGACTCCATCCCATCATCAACGAACTCCTGCAAAAGATTAGTGACAAGCAGGCAATGCACCGGACATAAAAGGTTGACAAAACATAGTATAACATGGTGCATCAGATTATGACATAACTCAGTGAGAGCAGGAGTTGTAGCAAGAAAAGCACCTCCTTTTAACTTAATCCCATTATTTTTAGCAATGTCTGTTGGAGGTTTATTTTTGATCTCATTAGCATGTTTAATAATATCCGTAGGAGACAAAGGCAGCAATGTAATTTTCTTGTCCTTATGTATGATAGTGTATGTATTAGTTCTACCATGGTGTAAAGCATCATTATCAAATTCCCATGGTCGACCTAACAAAATGGAACAAGCTTGCATAGGGACAACATCAAAATCATGATATCATGATAAGAGCCTCGTGAAAAGCTAATGCGTGCTGATTTAGTTACCTTAGTCTTACCACTATTATTGAACCATTGAAGTTTATATGGATACGAATGTTGTCGTGTGGTCAAGCCAAGCTTGTCAACCAAATCTGAACTCACCAAGTTGTTGCAACTCCGCCATCAATGATAGTGAGAACACGACAATTCGCACAATGAGATACATGTGGAACAAATTGTGGCGTTGGATCTTCATCTCTTCTTCATGTCCCACACGTGTACTCAACACACGCCGCACGAGAAGGCTAGGATAGTCCGCGGCAAAGAGAGCCACAAGAGTCAATGATGATGGCCTCCTTGTCTTGATCGCCTCGGTGGGATCTCGCATCAATGTTAGCAAAGAAGGGCTAAATCATCTTCAACATCACTAGCACTTTACATATCCATCGTCGGTAGCAATGAAAGCGCGACGACCGGGGCAATCCTTCATGACATGTCCCATGCCTTTGCATCGGTGGCAAATGATTTTTAGATTTGGACGAGGAGGAGCTAGTAGAAGAAGCACCGAGTGGCACCTTTCTTCAATTTGTGGAAACGCACATTAGACAATTTACTTACCCCGGAAGAAAATGGAGGTGTAGATGGATGTGGTGCAACAGAAGCTTGGTCGATCTCGCTCGAACGCTCATGAAAATTCCTCCCATTGTGAGACCTGAAAGGCTGGTGTTGTTTGCGTCCCTGTACTTCTCGTTGCTCGCCTTAATAGCAAGATGATACAATTGGGAAAAATTGCGCCATTCTTTGTAATCAAGTATGTTAGATATCATGGTTTAAACCACCAAAAAAATCTAGCACTAGCATCGACATCATCTTCATTTATACCACAACGTGCTAAACCAATAAGCAATTCTTGATAGTATGCTTCTACTCCTTTATCACCTTGTTTTAAAGTTTGTAGTTTCAAACGTAAATCACGTTGGTAATAAGGAGGAACAAAACGAGATTTCATACGTTGCTTTTAAAACATTCCAAGTTTGAGGCACAAAGATAAACATTATTAGCATTGCAAAGATCACTCCACCGTAACAAAGCAAAATTAGTAAACTCACTAGTAGCAAGTCTAACTCTATGCTCGGGAGGAACATTATGAGAATCAAATTTTGTTGAACAAAGCAAGCTCCCAATCTAAATATGCCTCGGATCAACATTACCAAAGAAAAGGAGGTAGACTAAATTTAATTTTAGCAAAAGGATCATTATTACCATGATTATTACCTCCCATGCCGACGACGATTGAAGTTGAGGCGGCGACGGGCACCACCGTCAAGATACGCATCTTCATCACCAAAAGCATCCGCATCTTCATCATCAAAGATGATAAGGCGGAGGGCGTTGCTCAACTCATTCAATGCGGTTGACCAGATTGTTCACGTTCTTAGCGTCACTCGGTCATAAGATTGCGTTGTTCACCATGAACGTTGCAAGCTCCTATGGACACGCACTCATTGAAGTCCGTCGGAGTTCCCGCCATGGTTAGAAGATAGAAAAAGACAACACCAAAGTATTATCCCTATCAACTAAAAAAAGGAAACAAGTGGTGGTGGTGGTGAAAGTGGAATGCAAAATCACAAGCGGCTTACCACCGTCTTGCTCAGATTCTTACCAACGCCAAACAGGAGCAAAACCAAAATGGCGAAGCAATCTGTTGTGGAGCGTGGGTAATAGTTGCAAGATGAACCTGTGCTGACAGAAGAATATGTGGAGCTATGGGAGGTACACAATATGACAGCAAGGATTAGCAATTAACGAATACAGATTAATGATTGTTCAATCCGGATCCAAAGTACAAATCACAGGTGCTGGCTAAGACATGTCGAGACGTAGCGCAACAAGGTGAAAACAAAGGACGATCGAAAGAACTCTGTAGAACAAGCAAATAGCCCGGATTTCTCCTTTTTCCCGGATTTTTCCAAAAGGCACTAGTAGGAAACAAACTTTTTTATTTTTTCACTAATTTTTTATACTTTTCCGAACAAGGATCACAAAAGATGCAACCACAAAAATTGGCACCTACAACTGAGGTGGGATGTGGTAAATTCAAATTCAGCACGTGCTCTAAAAAGCGTGCAAAAACTTTGACAATTTTTTTTCTTTATTTTCCTGAATTTTTTTGGCAATTTTGACGAAACCAAACAGGGCGAAGCCGAGTTTGGGTCGGGTCCAAATGGTGTCAAGAAGCTGCTGAAAAAATTTCAGATTTTTCGGATAAACGAGCGAAAAGTTATGCCTGTTTTACCGAAGGTATCTCAAGGTATGTTTTCCGGGAGGCACAACACATGGCGGCGGCAGGTTAGGGCAAAACGTCCCTAAACTCTAACACCGATCACAGCAGTAGGTATTCGCGATGATGATGTAAGGAGGGCTGCGATGCGAGCAAAATAAGAGCGGTGGCAACCTATCTAGAAATGCAGAGAAGTTACACAAGGCGGCTAGCAGGGCAAGTCGAGTAATGTGGTGGCTTCGACTTGTTGTTTGGGAAGCAGTGGATGGGATAGCGGCGGAAAACAAAAATCATAGCAGCAGGCGATTGAACTACGACCACGAACACAATCCTAAACCAGCAACAAGACTCGACCACGGACACAAACTCAACAACACGAATCAAACGAAATTGCAAAGGCACAAAGGGCGATAGGACAATGGAAATTGAAATATTTTTGGGCTTTTTGTGGACTCTAGGTAATGAACAAATATGAATCTAAGACAAACGAGATTATACCTCGCGGTAAACCTGAAATATCTCGATACCAATTGATGAGTACAGCCCGATCTTCCGAGAGGTAGCGGTAAGTTCGATATGTGGAGATCTCGACGTTGGCGATCCGGCTTCAAATCGACGCGATTCGAACCCCGCAAACGTTACACCATCGCTCCGTTGGTTATCAACCAAGCACAACTTGATTGACCTCGCCAAGAAGGCTTTTCCCGCAAGCGAATCGAAGAGCACAAGCAAGAAGGTAAAAACACGTTAACTGATATTGCAAATATGAATGACGCGAATATCAATAGAGGGTTCAAGAACTCGGTTCCAAAGGACTAATCGACATGTGGAGGAGATCAGAACGGGGCCCCGGATCTTTGTAAAAAGGATTTGTCACCAGATTACAATGAACGATTGGGTTTCTCGATGGAAAACTAAACTCTAAACAAAACCCAATTGTGTAGCAGCGGCGACGGCTGTGTTTATAGTCTAAGACTCGACCTAGGGTTGGGGACGGCCGGGGTTGGGCGCCCACAACTTGGGCTTAAGGTCCGACACGATACATGGCCAAGTTGGCCCAAATAGGTGACGCAGCACCTTGCCGTGGTCACACAGAATGATCCACGGACCTTCTGGAGCTGGGACCAGATCCAAAACGACGGCGTCGTCGTCCCCTTTCCAACGCATCCAAGAACGGCCCGTTTCGACGTCGTATGAGGGAAGTTATGACCGAAAGCTTTGTGACGCGTCTGCTGAATCCGAGGGTGACGTGGTAGCTGAGTTGGGAACGAATTGCAACTTGGGGAAGACCATGGCGTCGGTGTGTCCAGCGTGGCGATGTCCTCATCACAAATGACCTTAAATAATATTTTTTTATGTAATGTTTTATTAATAATTCAAAAACCATAATTACTAAGAAGTGATTTTGAGAAATAAGTCTAATGGTGTCAGTTTTGTGGCATATATAATTAATATATTATTGAAATAATTGTTTTCATAGCATAAACATGGATAGTCAAAGCGAGAGTCTTATAAGATTATTTATTTCAGTACTCCATGCTTTGTTTTAATAGTAAGAATTCTCAAAAATCCATACTAAGAGCATGTTTACTAGAGCTTCGCTCCCAGCTTCTTAGGAATTAGGAATAGATTTTTGTGGAGCCCTACCAAACGTGTAACTGAATTCTAGTGGAGAGTTAACAAAAATCACTTCTTCATTTACACTATAAGCTAGGAGCTAAAAAATGGCTCCTCATGTTCCCCATTCAATCACCACCAAAATTACTTCTCACCTACTCCCCAATGTGTCATCGCTAGAACCACTCCATCAGAGAATCAAGGAGTGAAGCTCAAGAATCAGAAAGTGAACCTCTACCAAACTAGCACTAGCTCTAATATACTCCATCCAATTGTAAATACAAGATTATTTTTTTTGCTTAGTTTTCTATGTACAATACTTTTCTTACTAGCTTATTTTATTTTCATTATGTTCCATCTCTTCTCAAATCTTGATGTTCCATGTCACAAAAACTAGTCCTCGATCTAAATGAGAGCATGTATATTCCACATGTTGTCAATTGGAAAGGAAAAAATTCCACATGCTTTGAGGTTGTTATAAGTTATGTTGCATGCAATGAATTAAAGTGGCATCATTACTATGTTATGAAATAATTCAATATATTACTTTTTAGATTCCTAATTCCATTTTATTATTGTAAAACCAAAATATTTGTATTAGGTTTCTTAGAATCAGCATCAACTTGATGCACAACGTTTTTCTCACTAAACTATCTTTGATCAGCATTCTGTTCACATAAATGAGTTAAAATTGTTCAAGCTTGACTTCTAAAATTTCATGGGTCATGATTATTTCCCATGATTTCCTCATAATAACTCAACAAATACACAATGTTGTATTTGTTACGAGGACCTTGAAAGAAAATTGAAATAAGAAGTTTAATTTTCTTCTTTCTTAGCATTTACATTTTCCCCTTTTTGCAATTAAACCAACCTAGTACATAAAATATAAAAGGTATATATAATTTACATGTATAACATGTGCATGAAGTCTAATTATTGAATACTTATTTTCTTTCTACAACATGCCTTTACCCTCACTAATCCATAGTTCAATACTCATTCACATCTATGAATGTATGGTTCCCAAGGTGAGGAAGAATCAAGGAAGGTCACCATGTCATATGGGTCCCAAGGTGAGGAGGATTCAAGAAAGGTCACCATGTCATATGGATCCCAAGGTGTGGAGGACTTAAGGAAGGTCACCATGTCATATGGGTTGAAAGGTGACAAGGACTCAAGGAAGATCACAATGCCATATGGGTTGCATGGTGGTGAGGGCTCAAGGAAGGTCACCACATCATATGGATCGCAAAGGGAGGACTCAAGGAAGGTTACCACATCATATGGAATCCAAGATGAGGACACAAGGAAGGTCACTACATGTCATATGGAATCCAAAGTGAGGAGGAACCAAGGAAGGCCCCCACATCATATGGGTCCCAAGATGAGGAGGGATCAAGAAAAGTCACCACATCATATGGGTCCCAAGATGAGGAGGGATCAAGAAAAGTCACCATGTCATATGGATCTAATGGTGAGGACCCAAGAAAGGTCACCACATCATATGGGTACCAAGGTGTGGGGGACTCAAGGAAGGTCACTATGTCATATGGGTTCCAAGGTGTGGAGGATTCAAGGAAGGTCACCACATCATATGGGTGCAAAGGTGACAAGGAATGTTTATATTCATGACTTAAGCCAATTTTGCTTCTAAGTGTTGGTTTCATTTGAAATGCCATTTTCATAATGCTAGTTTGACTAAAGTTGAATGGTAGCTTAGAGTATTTGCATGGCTGTGTGACCTAAATAAAAGTTGTAGTTCTTATCATGAGTAAAAAACTTTATTTAAGGGTCATGAGCTAATTCAGTGTCTAATATGGTCAAATAGAGCTCATAAGTATCAACAAAATGCTATTTTCAAAACTTGAAATTTCGTTGTCTTTAACTGAGTTTTAGTTTCAATGTAGTCTACTTTGGAACATTATAGTTTGAAAACCATTGAGAATTTGACAAAACTCCTTTAAGCAATCTTGTAGTACTCACGTAGCTCTATAATTTTTATTAAGTAAGTTTTTGCTAAATCGCCATGGATTAGGAGGACTGGTCGCTTGAACTTGCTTCATCAGTCGGGTTCAGAGGTGTCTGAACCGACGCTGCGCGTGCGCGTCGTGGCCGGCCGGAGTCAGGCCGTGGTGTAACAACCAGTCCTGACATACATGGCCTAGGCCCACTCTTCCGAGGAGTGGTCCGACCCACGTAGCAACCCGCTTGAACTTTCGTCCTCGCTTCGTTCAAAACGGTTAACCGAAGGTTACTACGCGTCCCTGGCCCTGGTATTTAAGTTGATCCGGCGATCCCTGAGTTTCCAGTATGGTACTAAACCTGGGCGCACAGTGTTCTTCGAGGTGCTACAAGAATAATGAAACAAGACCAATTTGGACGGTCCATTTTGGGTGAACAAGATCAGTCTCTGATGAGCCCAAAAGCCCGGGATCGCAGCAGTCGCCCACTTCTCTCGCTACATGCACTAACGCCCATAACTGGATTGGATTGGGCCCACTTTGGCCCATTAGGAAGTTACAATCATCCCCCCTAAGGATTCGACGTACCAGCTTATCCTTTCGGGACATTTATTCCAGGATCCACCTCTCTTCAACACGTTTGTGTGGCCCCGTGCCGGTACATGTGCATGCCATGCATGTCCACGACGGGTCCACGCACATGCACACAACATCCCCGCGCAGTTGTCCCCACGTGCCCATGAAACCTCGAGAGTTGACTCTGATACCAAATGTAACAACCAGTCCCGACATACATGGCCCAGGCCCACTCTTCCGAGGAGTGGTCCGACCCGCATAGCAACCCGCTTGAACTTTCGTCCTCGCTTGCTCAAAACGGTTAACGAAGGTTACTACGCGTCCCCTCGCCCTGGTATTTAAGTTGATCCGCGATCCTCGAAGTTTCCAAAGATGGCACTAAACTGGTTGCATGTTGTTTTTGCGGTGGATACAAGAATTTCAATTTGGAGGGACAATTTTCGGGTGAACAGTGTCATATCTACAAAGAGTCTAATGCCGCAAAGACCTGCCACATCGCCCATAACTGGGTTGCTTAGGCCCACTTTGGCCCATTAGGATGTTACACGTGGCCGCCGTGTGGAGGCTATCCACCAGCGTCGGCCCCGCACGTCTGAAAGATCCTAATGGCTAGAGGGGGGTGAATAGCCTATTAAAATTTTCTACAACAACACTTAACAAACCGGTTAGACAATTATGAGGGGAAGCAAGTGTTGCGCTAGCCTACTAAAAATGCAAGCCACCTACCACAATTCTAGTTTTTATAGTTTCTATCCACACAATGGCTATGTCACTACATTAAGTTAGTGTGCTCTCAAAAACTAACTAAAGAGCCACACTAACCAAACTAACAAGCTCTCACAACTAGTTACACTAAAGAGCTTGATAACTAGTTTATGGTAATGTAAAGAGAGTGAGTAACATGGTTATACCACCATGTCGAGGAATGAACCAATCAATCATAAGAATCAATATCAATGAAGACCAATCATCTCGGAATCAAATGATGACACAATAATTTTTTACCGAGGTTCACTTGCTTGCCGGCAAGCTAGTCCTCATTGTGGCGATTCACTCACTTGAAGGTTCACGAGCTAATTGGCATCACATGCCAAACCCTCAATAAGGTGCCGCACAACCAACACAAGATGAGGATCACACAAGCCACGAGCAATCCACTAGAGTATCTTTTGGCTCTGCACCGGGGAAAGGTCAAGAACCCCTCACAATCACCGCGATCGGAGCTAGAGACAATCACCAACCTCCACTCGATGATCCTCGCTGCTCCAAGCCATCTAGGTGGCGGCAACCACCAAGAGTATCAAGCAAATCCCGCAGCGAAACATAAACACCAAGTGTCTCTAGATGCAAACACTCAAGCAATGCACTTGGAATCACTCCCAATCTCACAAGATGTTGAATCTATGATGGAGATGAGTGGGAGGTTTGCTATGTCAATGCAAATGGCCAAGAGAGTGAGATTGAGCTGGTCATGGGGCTTAAATAGAAGGCCCCACAAAATAGAGCCATTGTACCCCTTCACTGGGCACTGCTCGGGGTGACCGGACGCTCCGGTCAGATCGACCGGATGCACCTTGCTAGTGTCCGGTCAACGGATGGCTGCCACATCATCCCTCTCTTCAAATACTGAGCGCCCGATCCCAACGGTCAAGTGATGACCGGATGCACCGCTCAAAGTGACCGGATGCACCAACACTAGCGTCCGGTTGTTTCCAGTAAGGTTCTAGAGGCGAAATTTCACGATCGGAAATGTCCGGTCATGCCCGACCGGACTCACCCAGCGTTCGATCACTCAACGTCTTCTCTGTGCACCGCCACGTCAGCGGGACCGAATGCAGCCAACCAGCGTCCGGTCATGTAGTGACCCAGCGTCCGGTCGAAGACCGACGCCAGTGTCTTCACTACTTCCACTGACTGGACGCTCTAGTCTAGTTGAGACCAGCGTCTAGTGCACTATGTGAAACCCTGACTTTTCTATACAGGGCGCCGGTGGCACCGTTGGACTATCCGCACTCTATGGGCGGACACTCCACCGGTGAACTTTCTTACCCTTGCTACCAAGTGCTAAACACAATGTGTATCACCATTGTGCATGTGTGTTAGCATACTTTCACAAACATTTTCAAGGGTGTTGGCACTTCACTAGATCATAAATGCATATGCAATGAGTTAGAGCATCTAGTCGCACTTTGATAACCACATTTTGATACGAGTTTTACCCCTCTTAATAGTACGATTATCGAACCTAAATGTGATCACACTCACTAAGTGTCTTGATCACCGAAACAAAATGGCTCCTACCATTTATACCTTTACCTTGAGCCTTTTGTTTTTCTTTCTCATTTTCCAAGTCCAAGCACTTGATCATCACCATAGAATTTCCATCATCATGTCATGATCTTTATTTGCTTCACCACTTGAAGTAGCGCTAACTATCTCATAATCACTTTGATAAACTAGGTTAGCATTTAGGGTTTTATTAATTCATCAAAACCAAACTAGAGCTTTCAGCGTCAGGCCGACGCGGGCAACAAAGCCACACTATGCCGCTACCCTCCTCACTCGCTCTCACTCACCTCGCTCTACCTCTCTCTCTCGCCTTCGCCACGCCCTAGCGGTATTGAGCGTTGTCGCCATCGCCGCGCACACCTCGCCAAGCTCGCACACCACCGCCACCACACCATTGTGTGATTGCTCGCGCACACCACTTAGCCATCACCTCCTCCACCTCACCGACCCGCCATTGCCTTAGCTCGAGCCAAGGTAAAGGCCTATGGGCCATTGCCATCGCCGCCATGGTCATGGAGCGCCGCCGAGCTTCGAGCTCACCATGGCCAGCCTTATCCACCGCTCCTCCTACTCTCTCTCTCCCTGGTTTTGTCATCGCCTTAGGTCATAGATGCTCACATCATCATTTATTTAACCGCTACCGCCGCCATCACATGATAACACGTCGCCGCCGTGCGCGTCCGCCATGGCTACAAGCATGCGCTCGCCACCACCAACTTCACCGCCGCCCTTAGCCCGCTCTAGTACCCATTACCATGTCACCTAGAGGTGTAGCGCCTTCCCCAATGATGGAGAACTACCTTCGCTGCCATCTCATCGGAATGGTGACACCACCTCCATGCTTTGTGCGTCGCCGTGCCCCCATGCACGTGGTCGGAGCTCACCGCCACTTCACCATGGCTTGATCCGCACCGTAGAGCTCTGCTAGGGTTCATAGATGTCATAGCCATGCTTATTTAGTCACGTCTTCACCGAAGACAACATGTCTACCAGCTGCGCCGCCGCCATCGAGCCTCCATGCTCGCCGGCGAGGTTGCTCCGGTGATCCGCTGGGCCAACCGAGGGTATGTATAGGTGCGGAATAGGATGGTGAAAACATTGGTGCCGACCTCGTCACGGTGACCTCACTATCGATGAGCTTTTCATTGGTCAAGACGCGCCCCTGCTCTGTGTGTCGCTGACATGTGGGTCCCGTTGACACGCGGGTCCCAACTGTCAATCAGTATTTGAAATATTTTTCTTGATTTATTTTCACAAATTTGAATGCAAACTTCAAAAATTCATATTTATAGTTAGGAGTATCTAAATGAGGTGAACCAAATTTTGTTAGATTCATCTTGAAGTGTACTATTTGATAAAATATGAAATCTACTGTTTAGGGTATTTTTCTAGGAGAATTAAATTGAGCAAGATAAGTGCTTTTAAAATAGTTTCTAGCTTGTAAATTGTATAACTTGAGCTAGGAAGGTGATAAAATTGTGATCCCAATTTTACTAATCTTGTGTTGACATTCTCTAGCTAAGAAAAATATTAAACCTACAGTAGGCATACTTGTAATATGGTATTCATATTTAATCCTAATTAATTGCTAGTTTCTAGTGAAATTAATTGGGCTAAAAATACATAACATATGATCATATAAATTTTTACACAGTATTCTCATGCTAGAAGGAAAGTAAAAAAATATTAAATCTGTTCATTGACACTTTCACTATGCTAAACTATTTTTGCTAAAATAAGCATATGTAACTTGTCATTTTTGTAGAGGTAGATATACTTATCCA